AAAAAAAAAAGAAATAGCAGATGATCTTGAAACCCTGGCAAGCCTTGAGATGTCCAGAGTTTATGATTCAGACACACTAGAGGGTCATAGAATACAAAGAAGACAGTGGTTCAGAATTTTTTGAAGCCTTTGGACTCTCATATTACATTCATCTGCTTCTCCAGTCCTGTGAAAATCTTTGCTAGTTCAAAAAGCTAGAAGATCCCCTGAAGGCCATTCAGCTCTCCACCCAGTAGGCATAACTAGAGATATAGGGGCTGGAGATTCAAATCCTTATTAAGCCCAGGTGGTGACAACAACTTCTGACAAGAAAGAAGTTATTTCCTGATTCACCAAGGCTCAAAGCTTTGATATAAGTCACTCTTCAAACCTGAAGGTTACATTGCAGTTGCAGATAATTTCTTATGACATTTTCTCTGTTAGACCACCGTGACCTATTTCTTGTCTGAAGCCATAACAGTCTGTAGTTCTGGCCCTTCTTTCTCATTCTTAACCATCTTAACTGTAGCATATTCATCTTGGTACTCATATAGGCTCATTTCTGGCATTGTCCTAGGTATAAATATGGAGTCTGCTCTTTAAAATTATTCTACCAAGTAAAGATCTATTCATGTAAATAAATAAGGCAAAGCCATAGAAGGGAGCAAACAGAAGCCTGAGCAGCTTCCCCAAATAGCACAGAGTAACCCCAAGAAATCAAACTAGTTGAACAACAGACAGAGTTAGCTGAAACTCACCATATCTTTTAAAGTCTCATCTTGGAATTTGTGCAACATTATTTCCACCTACATCCCACTGGCCAAAACAAGCTATGTGACTGAGCCCAAAATCAATGGGGCAGGGAAGTGTATTGGAACCACGGAGAAGCCACAGCTAGGACAGGGAAGTAAGGAAGACTTGAAGACCTATAATGGGATCTAACAAGGAGGTGTCCTAATATCCCTGTGCTCCACAAATTTTGCTGAACTCTGAAAAAAAAAAAAAAAAAAAAAAGTCATGAGCTCTTTCCTACCTCACTTAATAGAGCCCAGGATGATAAAGGAAACTTAGTCCAATGATGATGGACAAAGGTTGGCACAGACTTTATTCTGTATACCATTGGTTCCATCCTCCCTGGAGATAAGTAGATTTGGGAGAGTTGAGGTTGAATCTTCTAGAACTTAAAAATGAGCAAGATGGGAGGCTCATGTGGATACATTTTCTCCCATGGCCATGCTCCTCAAACATTCTGTTCAACTCATTAATTCTGGTTAATATTTTTCCAATTCACTCATATTACATTTTATAATATCTTCACCAACCAGTTAGTGTATGATAGGATATTTCTGAATAGCTAGGATAATGATAAAATAAACAAAAGAGCATAACGCTTTCGTATGCTTACTTCTTAACTAGAAAATTGTTTACTTATATTACCTTCTTTGATACTAGCAACCAGTCTATGGGGTAAGAACAAAGAAAACATAAATCACATAAGTAGTACCTTAATGAAGGCCCAGAAATGGTGAATGATGTGCCCAAGTTCACCCAGTAGGTATTAAATGTCTGGCACAGATATTAAGATTCTCTAGCCTCTTGCTCAGTACTCTTTCTGTGGCCTTAGGAAGAAGAACAAAGGGAGTACAAGAAGTAGCAAGTTACTGATTCTCTCCTGCCCAGTTCAGAGAACAAATGGGTGTTAAGAGCTGTTAGAAGGAAACTGGCAAGATGGGAAAGGAAAAATGCTTTCATCCTGTCACAAAAAGTGAGATGCCCCAGCCCCTTCCAACCACCTGTACTCACCCAGCCACTAGGTCCACGTGATGCCTGCAGGAGCATCCTAGCCTGAACACTTTTCATCTTCCCCTGAGGTTCTCCTCACCATGCAACCCCTGGAGAGTTTTCAGCAAACTCTCCATGGGTTCCTATATTGCTCAAATGTAATTTAAACCTTTACCATGGCCTACAAGGCCTTCTGCTTTGGTCTTATGCCATCATCTCCTGCCACCTCTCTTTGACTCAGTTCTCCCCAGATACACCCACTACCCTGTTTCCAAGTGAGCAGGCAAGTGTCCTCTCCCAGTCTCTTTGCACCTTCATCTCCTCTGCCAGAATGCCATCCTCCCACATTGACCTGCATTTGGCTTTTTCACTTTATTCTGTTCTCTGCCAATTATACCCTCTTCAGAGTTTTCTATATACCATATCTGTAATTGCACATCTCATTACTCTCTATATTTTTACTATACTTTTCTTCATAGCATCTATCACTTTTTGACAATACATTCTACATAAAGGTGTTTGCTAGCCTTTTATCTGTCTCCCTCTGAAATGGGACTTCAATAAGGACAGAGACTTTATTCACTGCAGTATCTAAGAGCACTGCACAAAGGGTATAAGACAAATGTTTGGTAATATTTGTTGAATGAATGAAACTAATGAATGAGTTGGCTTCAGCTTTTCTTCTTCTAGACACAACCCCTCTTATCACCTATCTGCAGTCAGTGTTGAATTTTGCCAGAACTGTCTATGAATTCCATGCAGCCATGAAAAAGACCCAACACAATGTCAGCTCCATTTTAGGCCCTTCCAACGACTGTTCTGGCAATGGTATGTGATCAGTGGGCTGGTCAGAGTTTCTGGAGAGCCACACAAAGGGCCAGTAAGAGGCAGTATCTTGTATCTCTAAAGCAAAGCTCTTGGAACAAAGTAGTGGCAATAGGCATCTGGACCCAAAGTATGATATAGACTCGACTGATGCTCCCAGATCTCCTTCCTTGAACCCATTTTCCTACTTGGCTTCAGTCCCCCAAGGCTTTTGCTAAGAGACTATGTTAACTCTGACAGTTTTCCCAAATACAAGGAACACATATCTTCACTTTGTACCATACTCATCCTGCTGAGAGCAGATAAACAACCCATCTGGATCACTGCAGGCAATGGGGAGAAGACCATTCCCAGATCTGGTCTTGATTTCCTTTATTTTACAGTCTATTATGCAATTATTCACCAAGAGAAGTTGAACATCTACCACAGAATTTTAAAGTAAAAATGAAATACATGTTAAATGGCCTCTATCTATATCCAACTGTCAAGGTATATATTTCATGTTATAAGCAAAGTACTCTCCATTCTATACCAGTCAGGTGACCTTGCCAGCCATCAAGGCTCTCAATTCTCAAAAGCTTCAATATCTTCTTCTACAAAGGGGAATCCACCTCCACAGGCTGCTGAGAAGATGCCCAGAGATCTGAATATGAGCTTCTAATCTTTCAATATCTGTAGAATGAGGAAAATGGAAGTTAGCATTTTCTACTGTGTTTACTCTATCATAAAAATGAAAAAACTAGATCATTACTGAGGCTCCTGCCAGTTCTAAGTGCCCACAAAATGCCATCAGATTATTCAGTGAATTTGGTAAGCTTGTCAAAGACTTTATTTCTTATAGGGTAAGACATATAGTCTACTATAAACATTATGTTCATTAGTAGGTCATATTTACAGCTCACATTACATATATTATATTTTCTAAGTACATGCATAATAACAGTTCTCTAAATTATATGACAACAAATCCTTCCAATACATCTGATACTTAATTTAATTGGGACATAAATAAAGCATTTAGTGGGCTCCAGGAATCCAGGGTAGCTGTCTTCTCTGGAACAGGGAATTTCGAAAATAGGGTTGCATCTTAGGCTCAGTGCTAGTGAAACAAATGACAGAACTCAGTGCAGAGTGGAAGAAGCACACGATACTCGGTGTCCTTCAGCTTGCAGCTGCATCAATCTAGTCTCTGCCTCTGTACCACCCCATTCTCCGCTTCTGTCTTCATAGGACCTTCTTCCTTGTGTGTTTCTTCCTGTGTCCAAATTTCTTTTTTTTTTTTAAATGAGGATACCAGTTACAAGAGAAGGATTCATTCTAATCCAGTATGATTCCATCCTAACTAAACTAATGACATTTGCAAAGACCTTGTTTCAAAACAAGATCACAGTCTGAGGATCTGGACAGGCACAATGACTTGGAGAACAGTACTGAACTTGGCATATCCTTGTGGGATTCCAGTGGAACGCTCCATGTGGGAGCATGGCTGGATCCCATAGCCTAGGCTCTTCATCTGAGATGTCCGCCCTCTAGGGGTTCTCAAATGACATCTGTCACTAACATGCTGGCTTCAGAAAGGTGCTGTGCTTCCTTTTAAAATCACACACATACACACACAGAGGCATGCACACACAGCCCAAGTATTACAGGTAGACAATCTGATGGTTCTTTCAAGTTCAAAGAGGATTCTACCTTGTCTCTGTCCATTTTCACAGGTTAGGCACCCTCCCCCAACCCAGAGTAACCACAGGGGTGTGAAGATACATGAAGTCATATGACTTCAAGACACAAAGACCACTGAGGCCAGCAACCCTGCTTCTCACCTCCCTACATGCTCTAGCCAGTCCCTACAAGGGGTCCCTGGTCTCAGTGCAGCTTCATTTTTGTCTGTGTCCATAGACAACACAGTAAAACTCGAAGGAATTAACTAGACTATATGTGTGTGCCTGGGTATGTGTTTGCGTGTGTGTGTGTGTGTGTGTGTGTGTGTGTGTGTGTGTGTAGCACTACTGCCAGTACTGCTTAGGTCTACAATAATGAAGGGGAAAGGAGAGACACTGGGTAGAATCAGAGCACAAGAGGAGCTGGGTCTCCCTCTCTCCCTCCCTCCCTCTGGTAGCCAGTGGAATGCTTCTCTGCTGGTTCCATGTGATTAATCTGAATTGCCTCTTCACTGAGGGATGAACAGACCTTAAAAAGCCAGCTAATGTAAGATAATGGTTCTGAAAAATGCAGCCTCTGAAAGGGACCATGAAAGAAAGTGGGGTTAATGATTAAGAGTTATGCTGCTGAAAATCTAGGAGCCCAACACATTGCAACTAAGAAAACCTCCCAGGCACCGACTGCGGCCTGGTCTCCGTACCTCTCAACAACCCTGGAAGACAAACCAGCAGGAATCAGTCTCCTCAACTCACAGATGGAGACACAGCTCTTTGGAGATCCTAATGTGAGCTAACAAGAAATGGCTCCTTCAGTGGCATCCAAAGAGCTTCATTGGTTTACAGAAAAGGAAAATGAGATCCAGAAAAGGTGATGCATTGGAACAAGGTAACACAGCTGGCAAGGAGCCCAGTCAGAATTCAAATCCAAGTTTGTCTGGTTGAGTCTGGGGTCCTTGCCCCAGTGCCATATGAAGATGTGTCTTTGTGAATTTTCCAGGTTCCCTTGGCTAGGGGCTGTTGGATTCTTAAGCCAGGGTCTTCTTGCTTCTAGGTCACATCCTTCTGGGCCTAGCATGGAGTTTTCACCCAATCAGCAGTCCAGTCTGCTCCTGCTTCACCCTTGTAGATGGTCACTGCGCGCACTGCATCCACAAAGGAAGGATGGGAGGCCCCCTGACTAAGCACTCACTAGAAGGCCAAGTCTTGGCTTTTACTACATGACCAGGCTGAGTGCTAAATAGGGCCAGACCATTTGTTATTTTACATCAGCACTGAACACTGAATAGCAAGAAAAAGTGGGACATTTTAGGACTGGCTTCCATCCATGCCAACAAAGTGCCATTATTTTAACTTCATTTGTGTGGTACAAATGAGAAGGAGATAAATGTCGTGTTCCAGCCAGAGTCTATTAGTGGCTATCAACTGCGACACAGGGAGACTGTACAATCTGGCCGTGTTTAGGGAGAAGAGCTACATCCAAGACATCAGCTCTTACATTCCTTCTGCTGGCATTTCTGAATTGTGCAGTGTGGAACAGTATGAAAATGCATACACTGAACTAAACCACTACAGCCAGTTATTATAAAGGGTTGTTTTTTTTTTAATTAAATACTAATTCTACCTGGAAAACCTTAGATTTGTCCATCAACCTTTTGCCTATGAAACTGAGATCATTTCTAATCCACCTACTGTGCCATTTTGTATGAGAATTAAATAAGAAAATGAATGAGAGACTGCAATCATTCTGCAAGTGTTATTAATTATGAATAATGTACCATATACACACAAGATTATGCATCTAAAGAATTTATATACATGTTGTATGTAATTCAAACTACAATATATTGAGCTTTCTCTATTCCTGATGCCGCTTGTCTGTATAACAATCCTATAAGATATGATAGAAGAGGGCATGTCATATAGAAAAGTACTTCATGAATTTTCCCATCAAGTAAACTCACTCATGTCAGCAGCAACCCAGATGAATAATTAGGTTATCAGCCCATGAGAAGCCCCCTTAAACTCCATCCCATTCACTAGTACCCTTCTTCCCTAAAAATAACCATGATCTTGACTTCTAATGTTAGAGAAAAAATTTCAGCATGTTTGAACTTTGATAAATAGGACCATATAGTATATATTACTTTGTGTCTGCCTTCTTTCAACATTTTTCCAGTGGAATTCATCCACACTGTTCTCAGTTGTTGAATATATAATAGAGAAGAAATGCCAGGTCAGAAAGCAGCTGTATACAGTATAAGCAAATGAATTTCCAAAGTGGTTGTTTTATTTATAATCAATCCAAATGTATGCAAGAGTTACAGTGGCTTTGTATCTTCACCAGTACTTGATGTTTTAAGTCCTTTATTTTATTTTAGCCATATTGATGGATTAAATAGTCTCTAATAACTTGAATTGCTCTTTCCTGTAACTGATGAAGCTGGGTAATTTGTCCTATGCTTATAGGCCATTTAGATATTCTCTTTTGTATTGTACCTGTTCAAGTCTTTTGCACCTTTTTTACATTGTGTGTTTGTCTATTTTTTAATTGGTAGGAGTTTTATATATATTCTAGATATTATGTTATAAATTCTTCCCCTGGTGTCTTGCCTTTCCATTCTTGATCCATTGCCTTTTTAAGACAAAAAAATCTAAGGCCCTCAAAGGGAAAGATAGCTGATCAAAATCTCCCCAAAAGTTAGTGATATTACATAGGAAAAAGTTGACATTACTTGGATCCCAGCTCTATGTAACAAGAAATGATTTTCAGGTAAAATGGAGAATTTACAATCCATTTTTTTAGAAAGCACTAAAAACTGCAGTGAAATGTGTCATACAAAGTGATATGCACCTACAAAGACGTGAGCCAACTTTTGGGACAATTGCCTAAATCATTGAAGTCAAAAGCTACTGCTGATTGCTTCAATCATCTCTTTTTCTAATACTTTAATTCATTTTTTCCAACTTTCTATTTTGAAATATGTCAAGCCTACATAAAAATGAAAGAATAGCAGTGTGAACACATGTATGTCTTTTACCTATTAAAGATTCACAGATTGTTAACATTTTTGCCACTTTTCTTTGTATGTGTGTGTTAAAATAAGTGGCAGACATCATAACATTTTATTTCCTAATACTTAAGTGTATTTTTACTAAAAATAAGGCCATTTTTCTATACACTAGTAATATTATCTCACCTAAGGTGTGTAACTGATAACATTGTATAGCATTTAGTACATATTCAAGTTTCCTCCATTTTTCCAACTGTAGGTTTATAGGCTGTTCCTGTTTTCTATCTTTTTCTTTTTCTTTCTTTCTTTCTTTCTTTCTTTCTTTCTTTATTTCTTTCTTTCTTTCTTTCTTCCTTTCTTTCTTTTAATCTAGAATATACTCAAGGATCATGTATTGAATTTAGTTGCCACATCTGTTTCATTTTTGTCTCTTTTAATCTACAATAGTAACTTGCCTTGTAATGGAGGAGGGGCTTACAAGTGACATTGACTTCAAACTCCTTACATGTGGAACTGAGAACCAGAGGTCTTTCAGATTTAATGAAATTTATATTATCAATCTTGTCTTGTATGGTTTGTAGGTTTTGAGTCGGAATTTAAAAGGTTCTTTCTCTGCAATATTATAAAGGAATTCTTCCATGTCTTCTTTATATGCTCTTATGGTTTCACATTTAGCATTTAAACAGTTGATATCTTTGAAATTTTTCTAAACAGCTCCACAATTATTTCATTAACATTTACTAAACTGTCCTATAATTTGGAATATCTTTTTTATCATATTCTAAAATGCAAAAAAATTATATCATGTGAAGGGAAAACAGAGTAAATTATCATAATATTTTATCTATTTTCTATTTTGCTTCCTGAGAATCTATATATTCACTACAACTACTGTATTTTACCTATTGAGTCTTTATGTTTTCATATCTGATAGAACTAATCATTACTTAATCTTTGTATTTTTCTTACTATTCTAATATTTTTCAAGTGATCTTTGGAA